TGTATGTGGTGTTTACATGTTTTAATTTACACATACTGACTATTCATTCAATCCATTTTTATTCTTTCTTTCTTTTATTTTATTATTTTCTCTGGAGAACTTCAGATGTCTTGTTTTTGAGTCTTTTACCCTTTTATTCCCACATATTCTTTTTGTTATTTTTCTTTTTCATATAGATTTGCTTTAAAGACCTTAGCGACTGCAATGCAGGACCAATCCATGTGCTTTGTCCAAGATGCTTTTTTGATATATTTTTTTCTCTCTCTTTCACGCTGTGTGTTTCTGATTTTCTGAGTAGTTTTACCTCTTTAACTTGCAGAACCTCCTTAAATCCTGAATGCAATGCTGGATAAAAGACAAACTGGCAACATGGTAAAGAACATAAGATGAGGAAAAAAATGTTAAAATGTCTTGCATGATGTATTCTGACTATAACGGCACATTTCTAATTTCAAACCGACATTACTACGTTTTGAGCTCTCTTGGATCTCAATGTTCAAACAAACAGCGTAAAAGATGACAAAGTGAGTCACGTCGTGGCTGTCAGTGGTTTCCCTCCAGGCTGTACATCGCTTTTTCTTCACAAATTAGAGAATGACTCCTCCTGGTCTGAAGCTTTGGAAGCGAACGTTTCATTTTCACACATCCTAGGTTTTGTTGCCCTGGGCCATGAGAATAACATGCAATTTCTGAAAAGCTGAGTGCTGTTTTCACTTTATAATTGATATGCGGTGCAGTGAAATCTAATGCTTATCCAGACTTATAAGAAAATACCAAAGATCACTGAGAAATACATTAAAATCGTCATCATATTACCCAAAGTGAGAAAGACAACAAAATAGTTATTGTAATTGGCACAGATTACATCTTTTTACAAACTCAGATTATCAAGTTTTCCTTTCAAAAACACTGCAGTACAGAAACTGCTCTTAGCTTTTACTGTAGCCATCGAATACTGTTCGTAACTTCACAGCCTTTCACGTAGCAGATAATAGCAGATACAAACATTATGCATTACGATACATACTTGCAGTGTCTTTCATCATATTTATCAGATGTTTTATGTTTCAGTCAGGGATAGTGTTTCCTCTTCAGCCTCAATAACATGTGGAGTTCCCTAGTGTTCAATTCTAGGCCCAATCTTGATCTCTATATGCTTCCCCTAGGTCATTTATCTAGGATGTGTTATTTGTTTGGTGCACATCACTACACTGATATAAATGAAGCCTTATTACTTCTAATCATTCTTATTTGATAATTAATAACAACAAGCTTTATTTATATTGCACCTTTCAAAACAGAGTCAAATCAATTGAAATTAAAAAATGAAAATGGAAGACAAACAATAGGAGACAATTAAAAGCAAATTGTAGCTCTCACTACATTACAAAATTATGTGAATAAAAATGAAACAGATGAGAAAATAATACAAACAATTTAAATGAGACATTATAAAATGAACTAGTCTGTTAGATCAGATCTGAAAGCACACTTGTATGTACAAATGTATCTTTAAGAGAGATTTAAAAGAGGATAAGGAGTTTGCCAGACAGGTCTCTTGGGCATTCGCTGAGAATCTCACCAGGTTACGACTGGGCACATGTGGTCAAGTAGATTTCAATGTCAATTTTATTTAATTAATAGCAGAAAACTATTTTCTCACACATTTGTTTTCATGCACATTTCCAATCACTTCAGTTTTGCTATCATTCACTGTCTTTTCAATCCAGACCCTGCCACTCTAACCCTGAAGTAACCTCTGCCCTATCTGACGTTTCTCACCTGGTTTCCTCATGTTCTCCTGCTCTCCTGTTCCCTAAATATCTAGTATATCAGTTCCACTCTTTACACCCATTGCATGATTTTGGTCTTTTTGCTTGGTATTCCTGCCAGTCTGTTATCGACCACCTGCCTGCTGACTTCACCCATCGCCTGAGCCCTTCTCTCCCTTTGTAAAGTAAAGGTGACGTTTTCATCACAACCTCTGAGTCTCATTGTAGTTCTGTGCATTCTTGGTCATGACAGGATTGCTGCTCTTTTCACCACCCTCTACTTCTTCTTCCATCCAAATGCACAATTAGAGCAACTATCTTGTTTAATAACGTTGAATGGAAAAACATTCATTTGCATTTTCCTGATTGAAATTTATGCAACATTTTGATGGAAATTTGGCCAAGAAACCTTGTTGAACTAAATACATAAATCAATTACTCAGATTTACGTTACTGTCTTTATTGATTTATCATGTTAAATGAACAGCCTCAGACGGGCAGTTGTGAATCATTTACTCCTTTGCTTGCTAATAAGTTGTTAGTGGACTATCTAGTTGGACTTTTGATAAGAAATGGTAAAACACAAATTTACTTTTATTGCTTGTTAGGTGGATCAAATTCATTATAGTCAGCTTGTTGACTCAGTTGAGGTAAAATATTTAGCATGTCTGATCAATGTAGATCAATGTATGAGAATGTATTGTTCTTTTCAATATCAAGAAAGCTAATAAAGCAGTTTTTTTTATTATTATTCTGTTCAGCATCCCAATATATGCTTGTCCTATTTCTGTTGGAATAAATACATTTTAAATCTAATAAATTCTATATATAGATATCCTAAACAACATGATGTCAAAACATGCAGGTGAACTCCAACAGGATGATTAATGTGATATATAATATGACTTATATTATATGTCTACTAAGTTCTAATAAGAATTAGAATGCTTCACAAGTCTCAATTCCATTATTTCTTATTTTGAATACACACAAGCAAAGTTGTTTTGGCCTAGATCCCACATATCCACTCCTGTTCTCCAGATCTGGGCGACAAGTAAGTCATAGTAATAACACATGTCAACCAAAGGCGCCAGAGGTGGCTAGAATTTTTTCTGTGTGCTTTTTGGGCCATATTCACCAGTCACCACATGGGCCAAAAAAAGGGCCCATGTTTGTTTTGGGATATTTAGGTCACATTTGCTATTATAAGGCCAGAAGCGCTGCATCATTGCCAAGTGGTCCACATCTGTATTCTATATGACCTTGTTCAGAACAAACTAGGTTCATAGCAATGTTTCAAATTATTGTTTCAATCTGGTTGATGTGATGACTAAATTAAAATGGTGATGACTTAAATAAAACTAAATATTTGAAGGCGTATTAGATTATTCTGGTTTCTCTCCCAGTAATTTACCGAACTCCTTCAAAATGCAGTTGCTACACTTTGACCTGAAATATGAAATTACATTACATGCATACAAAAAATGTGTATTCATGTACTTATAGCTTCGCTGTACATTGATGATTTGGTTTTGTGGTTATACATTATGGTTTTATCGTTACTGTAATTAAAAGAATTGGAACTTGAGTTTAAAGGTCATTGAAAGATGATGTCATTAATGGTGATTACAATGTATTGATAGGAGTGATAGATTGACAGTGACAATGTTGTTGACCAGTGAAAACAAAACAAAGCACAAAAAGAGGATGATGATGATGATGGCGATGATGGCGATGACCACATCCCTGACGGTTGAAGCAGGGATCGGTGCCAGTCGGCTTTAAGCGCTCACACTTTGTTGTGCAGCTCCGCTCAGCAGAGTAGGATTCAGGTAAAGAGGGATTGGCAGGGGAGTGTGAGGAAAAGCAGGTTTGCTTTGTTTTGAGTTAAATTCCCTGGACTGTTTCCTCACTGCCAATAGCTCTGGCAGCCTGAGTAATTAGTGTAAACCCACGTTGTACGATTATGCCTGTTATTGTGGTGTGTATTTGTATCCAGATAGGTGTGAAGACAAATTTTGTGTGCAGTTAAAAGATGTCTTTTTGATTTTGATTTTGATTTTTTTTCATGACTTGCATGCACGGTTTCATTATATTTACAACCAAGATGGTCGGTTTCATTTGTTTGGCAGTGATCTTCTATTTGAAGCCCAAGGACACATTTACTCTCTGGCTGCAGCACTGTATGCACGGAGAGCAGCAGCAGGGAAAGAGGGATGAGAGGAGAGGAAATATTTTTATGATGAATAGATGTTGATTTTGGGCTAATTTAATACACTACTGACACTTTTTATGTCCACAGTTATTAGTAATGAAAAACAAACTGCCAAAAATCATCAGACTCCAAGAGGTAATGCTGATACAACTAAATGAACAAAAGTACAAACCAGCACGTTAATTTAGATTTATTAAGTAATAATCATTAAGATTAAGTGAGGTGAAGTCAAAGTCTCGTCATCGCCACCTGATGGCTGGTGGCAGTATAGGTCATAAATCCTGCCTCCTCCATGTTAGTAGACTAAAAAGTCAAATTGCGCTACATGTGACATACATTTTCTCAAAGATGGATTCTCTCATTTTGAGTGGTTCTCATTACACTGATGTTTGCACTTTTCTGGTAAGTCATGTTTGGCAGCTGAGACCTTGCTCCTGTGGCTCAATCCCCTGATCCTGATCCTGTGCAGACTCAGGATCCATATGTGCAAAAAGGCGATGTTAATATTCTTATATTTAAGCTTCATTTCTGGACAATGGGAGGAAGTGGAGACACGTCGTTTATCTTTATATTCAGTCTATGGTTTGGTTTGGTTTCATGTCTGTATTAACATATGCTAAAGATGTATGGAGGGTCATCCAATAACCAGAATGTTGGTGGTTCGATCCCCAGCTCCTCTAGTCTACATTCCAAAGTGTCCACAGGCAAGATAGTTAACCCCAAAGTGCCCCTGGGTAAATGTGATAATGAAAAGTGATGCATATGGAAGCTATGTGTGAATACGTGAATGAGACTGAAGAAGCGTTAAGTCCATTTTACATTGGATGTTTGCTTCAGAGAAGTGGAGAGCTGAGGGAAATGGAGAGGAGGAAACAGAGAGGAGAGGGAATAAAAAGGAGCTGAAGGATTGTACAGTATGTCTAACTTAGGACAAAAGGACAAGAAACAAAGGAGACTCCAAAGGAAAGCAAAGACAGCCGCGTTTTTACAGAAGTCATCTTTTATTGCCACGTAAGAAAGTCGTATATAGAACAATGGTGATATTACTGTCAGATTGCAAATCAACAACAAAAGAAGAACAAAAATATCCCTGTCATCCCTCCCCAAAAATAAGAAAAACTGACTAATTCATAGCAACACTATGGTAATATATGTCTTGGACAAAACATCTGCTATACCTCTTTTTCTAACAATATTTGAATAGTACCAAAATACAGCTTTTTCATAACATAGTTCTCACAAATTATAAATTCAGTAAACAGTAAAAGGACGATGGGGCATCACGGTGCATATTTAAGCTACTGTGCAAACAATAGTGGGAGATGGACTCTATATCTTAGAAAATATGCTTTACTAGTCACGCATAAATGCAGTGTTGGGGCCATATACACATATGCATAAATACCACAAACTGGTCTGGACATCAAAAATAGAAAATTGGATTTCATATAACTTTGCATGTAATGCATGATTAACACCAAAATGAGTTAATCAATGAGTTATTCTATAAAAGGATATGCTCGCTAATGAATAGTAGTCATATCGCAAATAGCTTATTGATTCTTCTGACTCCGGCTAATAGCAGAGGTCAACAACCAGAATGTGTTTCACATCCACTGTAATTGATATCCATCCCGTGATGCTAACAGCAGGTATATTTAATATAGGTATGTGGTCAAAATTATACATATAAAGCACATCATAGGAGCAAAAACCCTTTTTAAACAGATGTTAGAGCGTCACTGGACAACAAACACTGCATCTCCTCTGTCTCTGTGTGCATAAGTAGACAGCTCCGTAGTGGTGAAAAACATTGCGCATAAAGATGCCATACAAAGTCGTAAACGTAGCTGACAAGAACCCTTTTGATAATATAGTGATATATTGATTTCTCATGATCATACAGATGCCGTTCGTCATAGGCTGTAATCATTACAACACTATCAAGTACGGCAAACGGCAACAGTGAAGGATAGACAAGAAAAGAGTGGAGGAAAATCTTGTGTTTGAGCCCTTTAGTGTCATCTCCCATGTTCTGTACATATCCCACTCTGTCATCATGATAACGCTGCTCTTTCTTTTCTTTAATGAAAAGACTATACTGCATTTTGTCTGTTTGGATAAAATGAAAAAAAAAAAAACTATCCTTCACTACTTCCCCAGCAAGAAATAAATATTTACAGACATAACCATCCTGATTCAGACTGACGACGAGAACAGTCCATGCTTAACAACTTCAGCTTTTAAATGAGTGTAGAAAAGAAAATACTCATCAGGATATGCATGTTCCAGACATGTTCCAGTCCACATCAGTGATGGATTGGATCATTTACTGAGCTGCTGCATCAATGATCGATGGTCTGAGAATCTGCATGTCTGGTTAACAATACTGTTGCCACATGGAGTGACTGGACAGTGGTGTTTTTCAGCGTGTGGATGTGTGTGTGAGGCAACAGTCTCTGATTCACAGCTTTCTAAAAGAAGCTAAATGTGCTCAAGTGCCGTGCACAGCCACCGTTTCTCAATATCAATAATTCAAAGCTTCCTCCCTATCAAGTGTTGACGTTAAGTCCCTTTTCGATTTTTGTCCACTGTGGACCAAGTCCCTGTCGCAGCCCTGAAGCTTTTCCCAACATTACTCTGGGTTTCAGTGACTAAAGACCAGTGATCGTAATTTATCAGGGAGCATAAGCCCAGTCTTCTCTCTGTTAGCGCTTGTTGGTGTGTATTTTGTGACACATTCAGAGACTTTGGGCCCAGCTGCAAACTCCACAAAAGCTCAACAATCATTCAGATGTTTTCCTTATAAGAGTAAGACTCTGAACACGAGTGGCTACACTGGTATGAGAAGTCATGTACTGTGGTGGCTCAGGTGATGCAAGTCTATAAAGAGCTGTTGCAGACAGAGCCCAAGAAGCAGGGTTTTTGCAGGTGGGAGGTTGGTGAGGTTATTTTTGAGCAGCGATTCACACTTAAGAATTGGGGCACCTACCACTGTACAAACGAGGGTTTGAGCGAGGGGATCATTAACCAGATTGTCCTCTTAGATCCTCTCCAGTGGGTGAGAAAAGACATGGCTGTGTATGGTTAGCTGGTTAAAGTAAGTAAAGTTTGCAGATAGGGTATAGACTTTATTTTTTCCAAAGACAATTTTTAGGTATTTTCAACACAGTGTTTTTTCAAGTGCTAATTTGTCTTATTAGTTTGGTTTTAATTAGTAATTTAATGCTTTCAAAAAGAGATGGAGTGTTACGTCTGACAGCAGAGATTGACTAGAGAATGGGATAAAGGTAAGATTTCATTATAGCTGACTCAGACAGCACCAGCCCAAGACAGCAGCGACTATATCTGTGATATATTAACTGTATTTTTAGACAGTAGGAGAAGGTAGAGATGCAGTTACTGCGGCTGTCCTCAATTGGTGATCAATCTACTCCAATGAACCACTGAACCCTCTAACTTGGGTCTGTTATCAGGCCATTTTCACAGCCACTCTCCATTTGACTTCTATTCAGCCACAGAGGAGAAAAAAATGGTAGAGAAAAAAGCTTTAAGCTGTGGCAGTGCTCCCAGAGTAATCAGGACATGGATGGTTTGGAGCAATGAGTTCCCACTGAGTGGTCAGACCTAAATTTGGACCTCATTTTGCAGTTTTCGAGGTTGGTAGTAAGAGCTGAAGGTGGTCACTAGTCTCTTTCTAAATGACTAGTGAAGGTGGACTTACTAAAGGCCTGGTCACACCAGAAAGTGGCCCAGCTGAAACTATCCATGTGTCTCTGCCAATTTATTTGATATATAACATATTTTATATAGTGAGACATTTGCATGGAATGCCTGAAAAAAGTTTGCAGCCTAAGATTCAGGAGTGATCAAGCCACTATTCACGTTTGCAGTGTTATACCTTTATTTTTGGAGCTGATACCATTGAACAATGATTTGTTTTATACCCCTGTCCATGATACCTTGTGCTGTTATCCCACTGAAAATACCAGAAAAACTGTAAAGGTCAAACTCCACCACAAAAACAGAAATAAAGCTGGTTGGTTGTTCTAAAGTAAGGTAAACAAGCCAATGAAAGGCTTAAAACTGTACTTACAGTTGTTTGCACAAAGGAAAAACTGACCCTCTTTTTCTTAGTCTGTGGAGCCAATAACTTCATACTACATTTCGTCATCAATTACGTAAAATTATTTAAAAATTCAGAAAATCTGTATCTTTGTAGTAAACGATGAACACAAATTGTCTTTGAATATCTTCTACATGTTCTGTCACTAGTGGTGTCGAGCCTGCAGACAACCTGTGTCCTTTTGTCTCCGCTGCGGTATTTTTTTTGTCTGGCTGAATCGTCTGATGAAAAATGTCAGACATGACTGCCTCCTGAACCCACGCATCTGTGCCTCTGACCCTATCAACCGTGACCCAACCGGCGCAACCAATTCCCCGCTTTCTGTCTGGTTTATTTTGGCTTTTACGGTGTTGGATTAGTTTTCCCCTTTTTTTCTGTTTTTTGCTTACCAACTGTTTCCCCTGGCCTGGCTGCTTACATAGTGTTCCAGCATCTGCCTTGGCACAGCTGAATGAGCTTTAAGGATGGGGCAGTGTGGGGCAGCTAGAAGGGTTCATATTTCCACATTTCCACCTTGATGGATTAAGTCAATTGGGTCCAATAATGCACATCCTGAGCAAACATTGACCTGCTTCCCAGCTCTGTCGCAAACAAAACTACCAGCTGTCAAGAAAATAAGGAAATAAATACACAGAGGAAAAAAACCACAACACTTGCAGAGAATTATCATTGAAAGAATGGCAGGTTTGTAGGATTTTAATCTCTATAGATAAAAGTTTTCTTGTTGGTTTGATTTTTGACTTCCTCAGAGACAATGATCCTTTACCAAATTAATATCTGCGCTCACACACATACAGACATACAAAATGTATAATGAGTGAAATGTGCGCAGTGTTCTAGAGGACACACGGTGGTACAGAACTGCAAACTGGATTACATTTTTTGGCACACAGAATCAATCAGTTATATTTCCTGCTAGAACAATGGGAAAAACCAATCATGCCTTTCAAGATGTGGCTGAATTATTATTATTCTTCACTGGCTCATCATGACTGTACTCTACTATCGCAGAAAAGCTTCATAAAAGCCCCGATTTTGTTTCCCTCAAATATTTCTGCTCTGCATGTCTTCGCTTGAAGACAGACATCAGGGGAGCATAGAAGAAAGAAGGGAAGAAGAAGAAAGCATGAAAAGAAAGATAAAGCGAGAAAGGCTATGTATATTTATATATATAAAAGCATAATGTCAGTTATCGCTACAAAGGGCCATGTTCTGGAGTTTCACAGTCTTTCATGTACAATAGACGCAGTAACGGTGACTCTTTGTCTCTCCGCTGTGACAACGCCTGCCGCTCGGCACTGTGGGAGCACAAGGAAAGCAGAGTCCACCCTGTAAATCTGAGTGTGTGTGTACGTGTGTGTTAGATGTGGATGTATAAGTAACACATTTTAATGCACTGATGACTTCTTCAATCCTGTTCCCTGGATTCAATTTGGTCTCAGGTTTCCAGACCCCACAGCAGTGGTTCCACAGCATGAGGTAAAAACATTCCCTCCTGTAGACCCTGCGCTCAGCTGGACGAGTTGTTTCATGTGCCACATTGAAATCCAATGTCTTGGTCTCACACCAGGCAGCCATGTGCACATCTTCCGCTTTTATTTACAGACATTAAAATGGAAATTTAACACAGTTTGTTTAAGTTGCTGTCTATCAACAAATGTATTTTAGAGTGTGATATTGTCAGAGCAGCCCATCACCTTGTTAGCTCGTGCTTCGGTCTGACCTAAACACACATTTCTAAGAGATAACTAGGCTGAACACTGCTCTGATGACTCCCAGAGATAATTTCAGCAATCAAATCATAATCCTTCTCCACCGTGTCTTGGGCATATTCATGTTTTCTAACATGGCTAAGCACTGTCTGATTGCAGTCTGATCACTTGAAAATGTATCTTAATCGCAAGTTTAAAGGGGGTTTTAGAGGTTGACTCAGCACTTAGATAACACGGTTACAATGATAACAGTGGCTGCAGCTGCTAATAAGTACCACATGATTACAAAACTAGCAAATGGGCTCGGAGAAGCTGTTAGAAGATTTGGCCTATTTGTTAGACTTAAGGATTTATTTTCATGTGTGAGTCATGTAACCCAGATATTCTTTTTTGCTGCTGGTTGTGATGTTTTTTTTTTCTAAGCTAGAGCGCGAGAACAGCAAGTGATCTAATTAAGCCTAGTTTCTTGTGGCAGTGTTTTTTATCACCAGCAAAGAAAGTGTTTTTATTTATTATTCCCATTATACCCATTTTTCACCTCTGTTCCTTGTGTTTGTTGAACTTTCTTTGCAAAATCTGTGCAGAAATAAAATGTTGAGAAGCCACTGAATTAAATATTTTATTTTGATATATGTTTTATGCGTATTAAATTGATATATACATAAAACAAATGGCCATTTCAATCAAATACGCAATTTTGTCCACTTCTGTACAGCTGCATTAAAACAACTTTATATTTTGCACATTTTATTCATTTATCAATCATTTTATAGACATTTCTCAACTTTTTGTTACCTGACAACCTCACTGTGATGATAAGACTACATGAATTAACCATGCCTGGCAACCTACTCTCCATTTTTGTCCATAAGAAGTGAATTGTAAATTAGTGTGCTTCAGAAGTGCTGGTAGTTGAAATTTGGCAACACTGAATATGGCCAGACTAGTCAGATCCCCCTCTCCAGTCTTTGTGCAAAGCTAAGCTAACTGGCCGCTAGCTGTTGCTTCTTATTCTACAGATATGAGAAATGTATCATTTTTCTTATGTAATTCTTGGCTAGAAAGTCATTTGGCACATTTCCGAAACTGTCAAACCATTTATTTAATTATGTCAATTGTTCCAAAGGATTTAAAGGTATAATTGATATGAACTGCATGTGACTTTGACTCAGCTGATATTTCTACAAGTTAGATTTTTATTATAGATTTCTTGAACACTGCAATGGTCTCAATTCACTGGCAAGAATAGGATTGAGGGAAAACATAAATATTAGGATGCAAACATTCAAATATATAGATTATAAATATACCCGAATTAAATAAATTAGCAACCATTGGCAACTGAAATCCAAAATGACCGGTATCGTTCTTCAAAACACCCATATCTTTCAAATCCTGGTGTGTTTTGTTGCTACAGTAAATATATCTGTGTGTGTACATGTTTGTCTGTGCATGTTTCTGAATATGTGCATTTGTGTGTGTGTGTGTGTGTGTGTGTGTGTGTGCATGAGAACGAAGCTCCGAGGAGCCTCTGCTCACAGCAGCCTCGTCCAGTTGCTGCCTCCCTGCCACCTTATCCCTCCTCGCGGCCAGCTGTCACCACCACAGACGAGATCAGAGCAGAACAATGCCAGAGCGACAGCGTCCATTCTCTGTGCTGGAGCCTTGTGGAAAAGGGCGACCTTCAGCTGCAGAGCTTATGAAGGCATTTCTGAATAGCCACACTACAAAGCCCTGCGTGTCTGCAAAGCCCAGCGTCCTCCTCATCTGTTTCTAAGCCCTCAGTAGATTTGGGTCTGAATCGTGAAGGGAATGTTATTTCTTCCAAACCATTCAACACTTTGTTGGGCAGATGAGCAGAACACTTGGGGCAAGGTCTGTGGGTAAACTTGTATTTCTTCTTACCAAGATGCTTTAGTGCTGTACATTTGATCCTTATATTGCTTCTCAGGTTGGGTTCGTACTGGAAAACCAATCCATTTTATTAGCAGGTTCCCACTTCATTGTCTGTGTGTAGTCGCACTGTAATGCTCAGATATTGTATCATTACAGGGTAGATATTATCCGTGAGACAACACTCGAATATCACCACAAGTGTACATACATCCCAGCTCTGTAGGCAATTTGTTATGGTTACAGACATCACCAACTTTTATGCCATCCTCTTGACAACAAAGGTCTGTTCAGTGATTTGATTGGTGAACTCTCCGTTTGTGAAATGAGGAACACTTGGACACAGTGTCACTTTCCCACTTCCTTCACCAGCGCACCAACAAGCCTCAACTCCTTGACACAAACATACACACACAGATTTGAACCTTTTGACCACCCCAGGAATTGGTGTCTCAACTTAGAGATTACTTGTACCACCACTCCGTAGGCATCCATTTATATTTCTTTTTCTCCCTTTCCTCCTCACTCACACAGTCACCTCTGTCTTGCTGTTGGTCACAAAGTAGGGCTGCGTGGGGAGGAAGTGTTGGCTGTGGCTTTGGCCTCTGGTGCCATGGAGCTGGTTCGGCTCCAGCACGGTACACTGAGGCCTCTTGTGCCCGTAGGTCTTTCTGCGGCCCACTGTCTCAGTACCGTCCCAGCCCTTCAGCCCAAGCCCCATCCCATGCCCAGTTGCAATTGTGTTGGAACTGTATGCCAATGGGCGGCCCATTGTAGCTGAGCTGGAGCCAATGGTGGTCTCAGCGGGCCTGGAGATGCCTAGGGACATGCCACCTGGCATGGTCCCCACCATGTGTGCCAGGGAGGTAGCCCCTAGTCCTGGCGGCTTGCTACTATGGCTGTGAGCATGAGTGTGGGAACTGTGAGAGCTGTGGGCAGCGTGGCCATGGCTGCCTTTGAGTTTCTGGCCATTTGACTTAAGTCCCCCACCTAGTCCTCCCCCTGCTATGTGCCGCTCTTTCTGCAGGGTTGACATAGAGGAAATATTGGGCATCTCTGTAACGTAGGTGGCAACGGGCTCTGGAGTCAGTGGACCCAGAGAAGTCATAGGGGTCATGGAGGACATCGGAGTGAGGGATGTCATGTGTGTCATTGAGGTCATGTGTGTCATTGACGTCATGGGTGTCATAGATGTCATGGGTGTCATAGATGTCATGGGTGTCATAGACGTCATTGGGTTCATTGAAGTCATCTGAGTGATGGTAGGGTTCATGGGATTGGAGGTCATAGGATTTGAAGCCATGGGATTGTTGGTCATTGGAGGAGTCATCGACGACATGTTGCCCATAGAGGGTCTGGAGTTGCCCATTGGCTGGAGAGGAAGGCCACCCTTTGATGGCAGCTCCACCATCAGTCGACGCTTGGTGTAGAGTTCTCCGTTGTATTTGGCAGCTGATGGAAGAGGGAGAGAGAGAAAGAGCTAAATAAATTCTTAGGTGGACATGAACGAGCTGCTGGTGGGTACAGCTGAAATTTTCAGTTAATTGTCAGAATCTATTTAGTTTGCTCTTTTAAGACAGTTGTTAAAAAAATGAGTATTCTCAGCACGTCTGTTTTTGCTAGAGAAAATAAAACTGTTAGGGTTAGAGTGACTCATAAAAAGAGGATGTTGAGCTGTTTGTAGAGCAGCTGCAAACTAAGGCAGGCACATGTGAGTACATGAATGCAAATGCACACACACACACAAGAAAAAGTTTGGATGGAAAATATCCCATCCCTTTTTTACTCCCACAATCTAAAAAGCTTGTGTAACAAATTCCATATACTTTAAATTTATTGGTCAAGCCTCTCTCATCACTGACCAAACAGGTTGTCAGGGCCACTGTAAATGCCTCTTCCTCTTTTTCTATAGCAAAGAAAACATTTTATTTCTGTGGTTGTGGGAAGGTGTTGACATCATGACAAGAAAAAAATATATATCTGGGACAAAGCATGCAAGGCCAATACAACTTACACTATGGTGGTCAGCATCGAACATACTGCATGTTCTTTTCTCCTTTGGACATACAATCAAGAGAACATTCGTGTGTTCAGGAGTGTAATTGTTGACTAGACAGCTTTCTGACACAGAAAAGTTGCACAGAACCATTACAATCGGCACAACAGCAGTCTTCCCACAGCTGTTCCTTGAACCTGAACCATGCGAAAGTCCAAACTTTGAGTAACAAGAAAATGGCTGTGGTTGTCCACTAACTGGAAGATTGGTTGTTTGATCCCCAAGTCATCCAGTCCACATGCAAGATATTGAATTCCAAGCCCATCTGGCTAAATTCTGACAATGAATTAGCCTATAGGTGCTACAGACAATATTTTGAGGCTCCAGGTGACATATTAGGGACTAGCCACTAGGAGCATAATAAGGATGCTGTCTTCCATTTGCTGTACACTGTTTACAGTCCGTCAGTCTCTACACAAAACACAAACAGCGATACGTTTTGTTGGTTTTTTTATGTCCAGATGATATTTTGGCTTATCTCTATTCACAGCGATCTGCATATGATTAAAGATTAGTTAAACAATTGATAGCCTAAATATTTTGGCTGATGTTTTCCAGCTCTTTTGCTCTCCTCAATAGACTGTTTGCCTGCTGGCAACAAAAGCTTGAGTGGTCAACTGAATGAAATGGAAACCAGAATACAGATTCTGCATAATCACATGCAGAATAACTTTACAGAGATTAACAGCTGCCCCCTCTCAATGCTTGTGGGTAGATTTGTAATTTTGCAGGGAAGCAGGTTGTAAAATGCCCAAGGTCAGATTTAAACTAAGCGCTCTACATAAATATAGTAAATTCAAAGGAACATGTATTGCAGAGTTGCTGAGAAACGTTATTGTCATTTGTGGCAAATTACCAACGTCTTCTTTAAATGGAGACTGAATCAACAGCCTCACTGTGCTCTATGTGCTGGTGCCATATCTTCTGTATACCTGGCCATGTTTGTGTTCTCCTTTAGCCTTGGAGCAGTCACCTTTCATGCCACACATTTATTCCAGCCCTCTGTCAGCTGCTGTCCGCAAGCTACAGTCTTTCTTATCACTGCGAAATGTGACCTTTTTTATCAGGCGGATTCACATTCCAAGTCGAGTCATTACTCTTTAGCCCTCGTTGCCTTCACGTCGTCAAAGATAAAGTTAACACAGTCAGTGAGTTTGCTTTTGCCACTGTTACTATAAATCTAGTTTATCACGGCGAGGAGGAGGGGAGGGACAGCGGAGGGGGCTGAGGGTGGAGGGAGAGAGGCGTCTCACCCGCCGAGTTTGCAGCTAGACCGCCCCTGGGGATCAAACTTGCTCAGGCGACAGGTGAATCAATCCGGCGGCAGTCAGCTCAACAGTGCACACATCCAGTGGCGTACGTGAGTGGAAATGGAAAACACCGCTGTTACGCAGTACGGGCTCTGCATAGCTCTGCCTGAGAAAGGCCAGCACCCCACAGAGACCAACACACATTATGCATGATGGAAAGAAAAATCAAGCACTGCTTCTCTAAAGTCCCCCAGCGCAAATAACATAAAGATCTTATTAGTGTTACACCAGTGTGTCAATCCGCTTTTTACGAGACAATCAAGTTGTCTTCTGTCGAAGGTGATGGAGGGCTTGTTAGTTCTAAAACTCTAAAACCACTTTCTTTTTATATTTTGCAATACCAAAATCAAAGACGTGTTGTATTTCTAAGCTGTGTGGATCGACCTTGTCATAGTTCTGCCACCCTAACAAAAAAAAAACAGTGGAGATTTATTTTCTTGTGATGAAGTTCAGTAAATGCTGCCTGAGAAGCTTTCTCAAGTGAACACTTGTATTCTTCGGCAGGGAAGCGGTCTAATGTAAAGATATTCAGTGTTGGCTCAGGATGTGAGATGTTATCTGAACCTGCTCTCTGTAGTAGCTCACCTGCAATCTCCACTGTGGAAATGCAGCAATGGCAGGCAAAGTGGTTGAACTGCTGGAAATGGTAGCACATGAAATAGGTTATTACAGATACAAGCTGCTCGTGCTATCTATTATAAAATGTTAGACGATGTGACATTTTGGCCGTTGAGGCAGGGCGGCTCGAGGAATGACAACGTTGGTCCCCTGGGTTATTGCAACATTTTGGTCCACACTGAAATATCTCCACCACTATGGACTGACATGAAATTTTTAACGAACATTTGTGACACCCACAGGACGATTCCTACTGGCTGGCAGTCTTCTAACATTTTAGCGCCACCATGAGGTTGACATCTTACTTTTTTTAAACCATAGATTCTATGTAATGATGGACGATGAAGCCTCCCAATAGGTCATTAACCCTCCTTCATGTTAGCAGATTGGGCTTACACGGAACAAAATTTGAAATACATGTCAAATAAATGTTTCTCAAATATGGTTTCTGTCATTTCAGGTAGTTTGTCAAGGGCTCAAGGGCTCCAAGGGTTAATCGCCAGTATTGACAGCTAAGACTGATTCGTGACCGATTGAACGCTAGTATCAGCAGGACCTCGCTCTTGCTGCTCCGTCATCCATCGTCTATCTCATATTTTATCTTCGTTTCTGGATAGGGGAAGGAAGTGGATATGCACCATCCATCTTTATTCACAGTCTATGGATAAAACCTATATGCTCTTAGACTTAGAGATGCAGGGCAGGGGCATGTTTAATCAGTAAAATTTCATCCACAATTACTTCAGGACCTAACAAACTTATTATGGTCGTAAAGGAACATGCTTTCCAACTCTTCAGTTGTTAGATGGTGCAGAGCAGGTTGCATTAGATGTGAGCCGTAATTGGTCATTTGTACTCCTGGGCTGAGCTACAGGTCTGTATCCAGGGACCTTTATTAGTTGGTTTTTGCCTTAGTTGGAGTTAGAATTCGATAAAGTGACCTTATATAGATGCACAGGGGGACAGTGGAGATGGCTATTGATTGACAGAAGTGTGGCTTATCAGCTGGACAGTAGACCGTTGGGAAAGTGGAAGAGGCAGTTAAAGAAAAGGGAAAATAGGCAGTTGGGAGATGGTGTTGATCTTAGGTTTGTTTCTTTTTCTCAGGGGGTCACTAGGCTGTGAAAACACCAGATGCAAAGAGGAAAAGAAAACCAAAGTCCATTTGTGATCCGATTGATAAAGCTCATGCAAAGTGATTTCAAGCAGAGACACCACTTTCCTTTTGGCTTGTCTGCTGTCTCCTACTGTCTTACCTCTCTCTTTCTCACACTTCACCCCTATACATTTTTTTCACAGCTCATGAGTGACGTTTCCATCTTTGGATGAACAGTAATGGAAGTTTGCCTGTTGGAATCCCAGGCTCCCATGCTGTATATCTCTGGACAGGTTTCCAATCATTTCAAAGGTGCCTCTTTGAATACCACTTGTGGAATGGAAATCTGTCAGTCAAGTGTGAGCTGCAGGGGGTAAAACAGGGGGCCTTCCTTCAATTACAGAAATGGAATCAGATATGAGCCCCTATAAGGGAGGATCGAGATTAGCAGCTCAGTGAATCTTTAAGGGGTGATATGGAGCGTGATGGATTTTGTGTGGAGGGCTGGAGGAGTCTGTGTGTGTGTGGGAAGGGGGAGACAAAGGGAGTAGAAAAAAAAGTGAGGTAGAGATAAATGTGACAAAATGAGAGAAGGGAGACGAGGGAATGGGAAGTGCAGAGATGTCGGTGAGGAAGGAACAGAGGAGGAAAATGAAGAAGAAGAGAAAACTGAGGTGAGATTAGAAAAGCCAAGAGGAGGAAGGAAAAAGGTCCAGGAGACGGGTGAGGGGAGGACGAGGAGCACTTCAGGAATAAAGAAGTGAAGAGAAGAAGGTGGCTTTAAAAGCAGCGGAAGAGGAGGAAGAGGAGAATATTGACAGACGTGCTGAAAGATTTACTACAATTTTCAGTGCTTCCTGTAAAATAAAGATTGTTGCCAAGCCAGATTTGCCTTGTTGTAAATAAACCATACTGCTACAGTAGTTTTTTTTTTTTATGACCTGCCAAATTGACAACGTCTACAAACCAATCAATGTCAAGAATTGGTTGAGGCAGTGATGATGACAGAATGTACGTATGAATGTCTTACACATTATTTCCTCGTGCTCCCTAAATTAAAATGTGAAAGCAAATGTAAATAATGTAACAAAGACATGAACGTTCATGTGTGAAAATGCTGCAGATTTAAGATTGTTATGCTCTATGTCATTTATCTTTGGATTATTGTTGGATTATGCAGGATCATTTTTCTGTTTCAGTTCATGTGAACAGAATTCCAAATAGCTGATATTAATGTCTCGCTCCACAGAGGAATATGTACAATCTGCTTATTGTTACTAGGTCACAGTTTAATTCAGATCATTGCCGTCACAATTTCATTTGAGACTGATTCTTAATTTAAAACTGATTTTTAATCGAAAGTTTTAGGGTCCAGAGCCAAACATTCACTGATGTGTTTGTGTCACTGAAATGCAACATGAAACACAACTGGCATTTATTGAGCTCGATGGGCTTCACAGTGTGTGGGAGTACGCTGCTGGTTTTACATAAAAATGAAAACTGCTTTTGTGTAGATGTTACAATCTTCAGTCTCTATTAAGATATGGATCTCAAAGGAGAATTTACTGATGACATTTCTTTTGTTAAACAGTGGGGTTCTAATCATTGCAATGCATTAAACAAAAAAATGATCTTCCATACTGTGGAGTACATTGTCAGTTGGTTAGTTTACAACTTACAGGAATTTGCCTTTTTCTTGGATCAATTTTCCATCAACTCCATCAATTTCTTCTGCATATCGTAAGAGATGGCTAATATTTCCCCAAACACTACCCCCGGAGTGTGCGCTGCATCATGTGTTGGTGTTATGTGCAGTTAGATGAAAGGGAAGCAGTAGCCTTACATCAGAGAGAAAGGTTTTCCAGTTGAGAAACAGGGGGGTTGCATCCCTTACTCAAATTGCAGCTTGTCATGTGAGTGCACAGCAATCTGATCTATTGGAGCTGCTGTCAGTGGAGAAATTGGCATCGCTGCCTCTCCCATGACTGATCCCTTCACTCCATGCTGAATGGTCAAATGAAAAATAAATCTCATTGGCTTTTTGGTCCTCAGAGACAGACACCAATATGTCTTCTGTTTGCATTTTAGATAACTGAACGATTTTTCTGCGATCAAATACGGTTGTAGATGTGCTGAAAATATCCAGCCAGTGACTGAAGTCTATATTTGGCCAATTATCTAGATATTCTAAATATACACCAGTAAACAATAAAGATGGAAGGGTTCAGGATGACAGTGTTAATCACTATTTTCATTTCCTTTATGTGTCGCTTAGTATTCATCTGTTCTTCTGTTTTAAGATTTTCTGGCAGTTACATAAACTGCAACTCTAATCACAAAACATCCTCCGGCCCACAGGGCACAAAGCAGTGCTCAGCGTACATGAGCACGATCTATTAGTGCAGCATGTCTATAGATGATTTAGGTGCTTAACGTGCATGGTGGTGTAGAGAGTAACATTCCAAATGCAGAGGAGGTTTAAACCTGTATTTGTCATCTGAATCAAATATTTTAACTTCTGCTGTTTGGCATGCGCAGAGGCTTTTCAAACACAAGCTCTGCAACAAATAGGGTCTTGTAGCTATTTGCACAGATATTTCAATGTGTTATTAACAATATCTGGCGCGAGTGGGCTGAATTCTGAATCAAGTGAGCGTAAGGTGCTATACCTGACTCGCATAAACTAGCTGACAAGACGCTCGCGCTGAAAAATTCACAAGTCAATCTCAAATGAATTCAGGTTATGAAATAGTAATGCTGCTGCCAATAACATATGAGCACGGTGCGCATCAGCTCACACTGGCAAATGACCTCATTGAATTTGGCGGCATGCATTAGGCTGCCAAACAGCTTGATGAGCCGCCTGTTCCTGTTTTACATGGAGTCTAGTTTGGTGCCACCAGTCAAATCAGACCGCTGTAGTTGAGCCGCAACGCTCCTGGAGACCTCCGGAAAAATACTCCACCGCTCTTTATGTTCAGGTCACAAAACCTTTGGGGACTGTACATGAATTAATCAAGAGGGGAGGTAGGGGTAGAAAAAAGGGGAGGTCTTTTTGCTGCAGGGAGGGTGGGCATAATCTGTAGTTTTTTCCTGACCCAGATTTAATCTTCTTCTTGCAGGTTTTACAAGACAAAATAAAAAAAAGCATTTCTGTGTGCGATGGTCCATGAAAGTACATTGGTTGCATTGCAAAGTAAAACTTAACCATGACCAACAACCATCATTTTATTCTCAGTTATATTTAAGAGATTGAACATAGTTTGCAAAATTGACAACAATGTCAATTTTAAGGTTAACGGCTCCTCGTAATTGTAACACAACCCCTTGGGGATCTATGGAAAAAGGCAAGTTATGAATTAACAGGAACCCCAGTTTTCAATTTCTCAAGTTACCTTAACTTCCAATATGATTCAGCTTGGAAGAATGGGGGAAGTGCACTGGCCCTTAGAGCCCAATGCACTGCAACTTGAGAAGACTCATGCAAATACACACACACACAACACATGTGGCAAATAGAAAATATACTGCAAATACAACACTACCAAATACTCACAATACAATGGTTGTGATGAAAGTGATGGGGGCACACTTGCCAATTAAAGAAATCTGACAAAAATCATGTTATTCAGTGTCTCCCATTAATTATCGAGACTGTGGAGGCCAAACACTTTTTTTTACACTTCTCATCATAACATAAGAGATCTATATATTTTTGTGTGCAGCACTATTTGCTGTGTGTTGGCTTGGGGCATCGTGCTACGTTGAGCTGCCACATGCTCACACTATGTTCCATAAAGCTTTACCGTCCATGGACACAGTCAGGGCTCATGGTTTCAGCTGCAGTTGGTATGCAAGTCTTTTTATTTACTCTTTATTCTGCATGTGCACCTATCACTCAGAATCTGTTGAGCTTGAGAATGACCTCCGTGCACATGCACCCCTGCTGTTGCCATAGATTGAATTAATGCAGATTACTTTGACTGGCTGGATAAAGAGTCTCAGCTACTGTATGTTCATCTCTTTTCGATGTGAATGTTTACAGCACATTTTCTATTTGCCACGCATGTGTTATCAAATTCATGGGTCACAAGCCCCAAGAAGCACTGATGGTGCCCCCTCTCTAAACATTCTTACAGTCGGGACCACTAAACAGCAGGTAAAATCAGTCGCACAACTTCAAGTGCACCCGCCTCTCCCAAACTGTGAAAACATTCTCTGTTCCTCTTTATTTTACACTTAAAAAATGTTAAGATGATAAGAAGCTTGACAGACACTCACCCACAGCCTTCAGGGAGGCGTATTTGTTGAAATCTTTATTTTGAAGCTGCTGCTGCTGCTGCTGCTGCTGCTGCTGCTGCTGCTGTTGTTGATGATGCTGCTGCTGCTGTTGATGCTGCTGTTCGTAGGCGTGAGCGAGCTGGCTCAGGGCGGGGTACGGGTGCTGCTGACCCATGTTTGAGCCCGATCCCACGTTGTTGTTGATCTGACCACCCTCTGTGGACAAGGACACATGGCAGGACAAGGTTATGATCAGGTTTAGGACGGTTATCAACGGGAATATCTCTCCTGCTTATTTTCCAGCATCCAGTCATACACCCACCCTGTTTTTCTTTTACTGTATGATGTTGAAAAAATGATGATGTTGAAAATCTGTCCACACTCAACAATTCTCTGGACACACGAGCAGCTATTCATTACTGCACCATTAACAAATGAACTCTTGCCCTCGTTCTACAGCTATAGCCTATAGTTTCCCCGCGCTCCCTATTAAACATTTGGACAGAATGCAAACTGTAAACACTGATTGGCTGCGTTCACCGAACACTACTTCAGATTTTATCAGCGGTTTCAGTGCATGTCTCAGAATACAAAGTAGCATGGAAGCACGAGTAGTAGCTGAGTCCTCCTTATCTGAGGTGCTTTATAGACACATCCCACATTACAGTGTCAGGTACCGTGTGAGAACTGTCCATCTCAAAACTGTGTGTGTAGCGAGCACTCGGGCCAGACTGGGGTTGAAACATTTCCAGTGAGGGTTTAAAAGGGAATATATCAATATGTTCTCCAGATTCGCTGGATTTCTCACTTTAAAGCAAGTTTGATTTTTAAAAATAGAACTTTTTAGGAGAGAGTTGAGAAATAACTCTCCTNTCCAGACACAAAGCAGGAAGACTGAACTTTTCTTTTCCAGCATATACTCCTGATAGTATTTGCTTGTTCATTTTGCTAACCTGAAGGTATTACTGTTGTTGCAACCACACTGAGTCACCAACAGTTCTTAAGAAGAAATTTCCTCTTAAAACCCACATACGCAGTTTTTCTGACATTGTTTTCTTATCTTGGATTTGTTTAGGTAAGAACAGAATGGACGCACACTCAAGAGCCCTCTAACGCACACTTGCTCACTGACATGCTTGTGTAAAATAATCAGTTTTCTTGAATCTGCACTTGTATGGTCAGGTTTCAATTACCACAATATTTGATCATTTGTATCTTAAAAAAGACTGACAGGTTTCTGTGCATATTTCAATTTTTACTAATTTACCAATTATGTGTGTTAAATTTTAAATACATACAATTGTGGAAAAAGAGAACACTCATTCCCAAAAATAGTCACCTATCATTTGGTTTCACACAATGATTGTGTTAAATGTGCTAAATGTGTCACTCGTTCCATGATTTTCCATCGTTTACTTAACATATTCCATCCAATTGTAGCCTATTCATTCTGAGAACGAGCTGATTGTCTGGTGGGAACAATTGTGAACAAAACTGCAGTTTAAGAACGCAGTCATGAATCTGGCATGGAGTTTTCTTAAGAAGCTTCTAAAGAACAGAAAAGAGAAGCGTGAGCAGTAATAGAGGGAAAAGTGCTGCAGCTAGATTTGAAATACATTTAACCTTCAGTACAATATATTGTTTTAAATTGAATTAAATATAATATTTCAACCATTTCTGAATTACTTTTTGGATGGCCAAATGCCTCACATGGCATTCTCCTTCTCTTCTGCTTCCTGTAACAGTTCTCAGAATGACTTCACTGCATGAAATATGAAAAGAGAATATCACTATTTTATGTTTTTGTATTTGCAACAAACTGTAGTTGGCTTTATGTTGTGATAGTGATTAGTAACCACACCAGCACATTTCCACAGTAACCCTCACAACCTTATAATTAAGAAGTCAGTGGATCAGACTCCCTCCACACTTCAGTTATGTAATGGGGCCTTATGCTGCACCTCCCCTGGAAGATGCAGAAATCAGATGGGGGGACAAGACATCCAAGAAATGCACGTGTGCAAATAAACAGAGGCACTGGCGTCAAAGAAGAGTCCTATGAGAGCGTCTTGGAAGTGAATTGCACTGTCACTGACTTCAAAACTCAGCCGAGTGTTAAAAAATGTGTGGGAATTCTGAGGACACTCTCCAGCATTGTTCTCTCGCTGTGCTGAGCCTGACAAGATAATTGTAAATTCCTGTTCCTGAAGGCAAAGGTATCCTGGCTAAGTGAAAACATTCTGTAAAAAGCTCCTGTACTGCCACTTGATAATCTGAGGAAGTAAAAAAACTTAAGAGAGAACAAGAGTGAGAAAAGAAAGTGACACAGGAGGACAGGAGAGGGATGAGAAATCATGAACAATGAAGATTGTTGGAAAAAAGTTCAACTTTTTTCCTGGCAGAGAAAATGAAGGAGGTGTGTGAAGCACAGAGTGAGCGTGACAAAACCATTTACACAGAGAGCAAAAGAAATGAATATAGACACACACAAGTGGATTTCAGACATAAAAATGTACAGAAATGGTGTTTTCACATATGAAGAGCACAGCAGGAGACTGTTAGAGTCAGCCACGCAACAACGGAAATGTCCGGCACATTCAGGCGAGGGGTAACACAGGGATGGAAAATTATCACCATCGTCTTTCTGAAGAAATCTTTGAAGCCGTCTACAGGTATAACAAACTCTTTTTTAGTATTTGTATTTGTTCTGTTTTTTTTAGTCTTGCGTCCATCACGTGCTTGACACGTCATCAACCCGCCCACTTGTTCTGCTGGATTCTCATGTTTTTCTCTTTTACTAGAGGGCTTACAGGAAAAGCCCTGGAAAAGAGCAACTGACTTGGACATTTGCGTTCTTACATACAGCCCCTGCATAAAAGTTTCAGGAAAAAAACACTGACAGTAAAAAAATGGACAATCTCAACCCAGCCCTATAAATATAAACTCCTCCTCCCTTCCTATTTCTTTGTTGCTCTCAAACACGTCCTTCTGTTGCTCCACAGCAAACAGACGAGGAAGTTGTAGGTCCAGAACTGGACGATATTGATTTTCACCTCAATGCTGCATTGTCGAGTGGTGAGGTGCGCTCAAAGGCAGTAAAACCCTCACAGCTCTACTGTCAAGGCAAAGGAACTTGTGTTGTTACTAATTATTCACTTAGCCTGGCACCGACCCAAACCACACACACACACACACACACACACACANACACACACACACACACACACACACACACACACACACACACACACACACACACACACACACACACACACTGTCTGACTGACTGACAAGGTAGACAGGGAGTTGAGACAATTAAAAAGAGCATCAGAGTGAGAAACAGTGTGCGGCCGTGTCGACGAAAGAATAGGAGACAAGATTCCCCGATGCGATGAAATGTCCCATGGTGCTGAGTGAAAAGGAAAAGACATGTGATGTGAGTTCATATAGACAAGTGGAGACAGCACATCCAAAGCTGGAAAATTAGATGACTGGAAAATGCAAGCCTGAAACATTTTCTGTTTTATTGGATTTGAGTGCCACCCACGTCTTGGGTAAACACTTTGCAATGTTTTGAAATGGCTCGGCAGTACTGGCTCACTGAAGGCTATGCGAATTTACGTAAATGAGGCCGAGTGATGGGTTCGGGAAGGGGAAGGCCGCCATGAAGAGAAGGAATATAAGAAATGAAGCCATTGAGTGTTTATACTGCTGAAACAACTACATCCATTAACTACATTCAGGTCCCGATGAAGGCCAGTCGACTACTTTGTCTTTCCTTGGAGGCCAAAGCCAAAAAACACAAGGTACCTGGTTTTCTCGTTTCATAATGGTTTTGTGTGGTTGTGGAGCACATTTGTAAAAATTCAATGTCCCATCGAAGCGCAGGTGCAGCTCCTTCTCTTCAGGCAATCTGCCACTGACAGGTTTCAGTGGATCCGTGAACAGTCAGAGAAATGTCAGCGCAGTTGTAAAACCCTCACATTTGTACTGTAGAACACATTGTGGTTGTATGCAAATGATCCATATGTTGTTATCCTAGTCTCACTGAGCCACAAATTAACATTTGGGCCACAATAAACTTCCTGTTTAACCAAGTGTACGCATAGGCAACTGGCTGCGTGGTTAATTCTCTTGTTGAAATAATAGCTTAGGTACTACGCATATTACTGCATTACTCATGTGTGATTCAGTAGTAACCCAAAGAGATGTTTCTTAGTATTTAATTCCCACTGAAGTATAAAATTCATAGTTTCTGAAGAAATGCCAGAAAAGGTCAGTTGTCATGATTTTCCTCAGACCTCTGTGAGCTTGACTAGATGGACATCTGGCTGTGCAATGTTTCTGCTCACCGATATTAAAGATTTATCACTTTCTGTACACCATGTTCCCCCCAAAGAAATGTATATTGTAAAGTGGCTTTAAATTGGCTGAAGGCTGAATCCCCGCTGTGTTATGTCAGTCACAGCTGGGCATTTATTTATGTGAAGGCACCATGGAGGACTACTGAAGGGTTTGTTGGGGAAAGCATTTCATCTGGTCTGAAATGTATGCCACTGTTTTTGAACCTTATTTTTGTGGATTAAAGAAGAAGACACACTGCAGAGCAAAGGCGGGGGAATGTCAGGATTACAGTAAGTGTGACCGCACTGATGAGACAGCGTGTGGATGATGAGCTTATGACCACCAGGTAACAGACAGTGCAGTCAGCAGTGCCCAACGTGAGCGTGCACTACATAACACTGCAGAGGCAGAGGCATACATACGGCCCCAAAACACTGAGTGATTTCAAAGCCACGCCGTCTCCCTAGTGTGAAGCCAGACATCCAGCTGGAGCCCAGAGCTTATTCTCCCGGGGACTAACTGGTATCTGTGCTTTTCTCATGTCCCAGACAGGAATATATTCTCCTTTGCTAAGCGCAGAAGCAAGGGAAATACGGTAGACAACACATTCAAGTCTGTTCCTTGATGTGTTCCATATAGCTGTGAGAGTGTGTGCGAGGGAAAATAAAGAAGAGAAAGCATAAAGGGAGACGGAGACATCAAGAGAGAGCCAGAGCACATGTATGTAGGAGTGCTTCTGTCTCTTTCTTGGCCTGGCTCCATTGCCACTGGCTGTACAGTGTAATTTCTCTGCTTGTTTGATTCGGCGCTGAAAATTGTAAGCAGCTGACTCATCTATTATTCCCTCTTTCCTCCTCACTCGGCAA